CTTCCGGCCCGTAACATACTCTAACACATAAAGCACATATCATATATCATACCTGACCTTTCTGTCACATAATACTTTGCCTTCCGGCCCATATATAAACATGTATATCACGCGTAGCAGCTAACTTTCCATTTATAGCATATAAACATAACACATAACATACTTGACCTTCCGGTCACACAATCAAACCCTTCCGGGTAAGTATAGTGAGAAGACTCACCTCGCGGACGCTGGAGATAGCAACTCCTGAAATCCCTTGCACTTGATCCTCCGAGCTACAAGCTCCCTGTAACATCATATATCTCTTATTAATACTTCTATCTTCCACGTTAACTGACCCTAAGAAATCACACCGGTCAACTCTGGTCAACAGTCCACTGTCAACTCGACTGGACTCGGCGAGTTCCCTGGCGACTCGGCGAGTCTGGTCGTCCTTCAATCCTCTAAGATTCCCCTTCTACTCGTCGAGTATCCTCTTTGACTCGACGAGTTACTCCTGGAAGAATCGTGGGGCCACCCCGACTCCACTCGCCGAGTCTGAAGAACAACTCGGCGAGTCCCAGTGAATCTTCAAGCTACTCGCCGAGTCTGATCATCCGACTCGGCGAGTCCACGCCATGCAGTCGATCAAACTGCTTCCTGAGATACATATTTTCCCGAATATACAAACATGGGACCTTCTGGACCTCTAAGGGTCCTAATACAGGGTTATAAACGTTGGATAACAACACAACAATCCATCTAATCTCCAAATGGGTTTCACAAACCCTAAATCCGTGCACACATTCACATAACAGAAAATAATCCGAAAGGTTACCTGAATCATGCACTCTCAGTGTCCCCAAGCCTCAAAACGTGATTCCCTTGCTGTCCCATTAGCCAAAACCTTCTCCTTCTTGGACAATAACTTCCTCAAATCACCAATGATCTTCAATCCTTGTTCTGGATGCCCACAACCGATTTAGGATCCTTCTCAGTCGGCCAAAAGGCGAGCAATGACGGCATAAGATCCCTTATATACGTCCCACACTGAACGGCTAGGGTTTTCCGCTGAACAGCGTCGACTCGCCGAGTCCATACCTGGACTCGTCGAGTCCAGTCGCGAACCCGCGACCACAACTGCGACCCTACTCGACGAGTCTGGCTCCAACTCGCCGAGTCTCCCCTTTAAAACACCCCAAAATGCAATTAAACAATACTTGAGATTTTGGGCTGTTACACATTCCCCTCATTTGATGTCTCTATTGATCCTCGTTTGCTGCCAGGGAATTTCCAAAGTAGCTTCGTCAGTTTGTGGTTCATATCGATTCCTTAAGCTAGATCTCGTAAGATCATTGTATAGTGTCAGTATGTGGGGATCGACGGGATGGTATATATTATTTTAGAAATATGATTTATATGTGTTTATAATATTAGTGGTTTTGCAAGATCGAGATATACTTTATTATCACATTGTTTGAACTAAGAGCTTTCGTACTCTATGTTCCTTAGGTGATTGGGTTCACCAAGGATATTCAAACTAAGTGTTCATTAGATATTTGAACTTAGTGTTCATCAGGGATATTTGAACTAAGTGTTCATTAAGTGTTTGTGAACTAGGTGTTCATTTGGTAATATTGGAACTAAGTGTTCATTAGGTGTTCTTGAACTAGGTGTTCATTAATTATTATGAACTGCGTATTCACCAGAGGTAATCTAAGAACCTTAGTAGCACTAGAATTTGTGTCGGTTCCTTAGGGCAATCCTTAGGAATGAATGGGAGAAGGGTAATCGGTTCTTATGATAAATCTTTAAGAAATAAATAGAGATAATGAGGGTGGATAATTGGATTGATTGTTTGAAAATTGAATATAATAATTATATTATTGTGGGTTGAAAACCCTGTATACTTACCAGACTCCAAAACCTGACCCTCTCAGTTTTCTTTGTATTACAGGTTATGGTACGAGAGCATAAGTTGGCTGACATAACGAGAGATTTTGGATTATAGGCCAGTAGTTATGAATAACTGTTGTAAGGTCTATTTTTGTTATGTTTATGCTTTTGGTCTGTATTGAACATGACATCCCGAAATTTTGTTATATAGCAAAAATACATTTATTTAAAGAAATGCTTTGATAAATTCTTATCATATTTTGTTTTGGGAACAAATTTTGCAACTGTTTTCTTTATAAGATTAGTCTGATTTTAAAAACAAAGCATAAACAAATCGGTCTTTTCTGATTGTGAAATTGGGGATGTCACAGATGACATGTAGGGTTAGATAGAAAGAGGATTGAGAGATGGAGGATGTAAGCTGTTTGGATGCACTGGTTGTCTGAGGAGTACGAGAGAGTTAACGTATCCTCTTCGAAAGGACTTGACGGATCCATTCCAAGGATTTTCCAGCCTGATTCCATGATGTTTGAAGGAGACGGATGAACTTGATCTTTGGATGTCGTAAATGGAACTCCGAGTCCGGTGCGACCGGGGGAATTATCCGTACGTCGTCATCGGAGGCACGATAGAGAGGAGGGAAAATCAAATCCGAAGCGGTGGAAGACGGATACGTTTGAGAGATGAAACTGAAAGTAGTAATACATGAAACGGTGGAGAAAAGTTGCAGAATTTGAAACGGTCCAATAAGAATAAGGTATTGTGCATAAAAGTACTGAAAATTAATATGTATATAATAATAATAATAATAATAATAATAATATAAAAGTCTAGGGTGGAATTTGTACATTAAATTAAATAAAAAACATAATTAATACAAACATAGAAAAATAATAATAACTAGATGGGGAACCCCCGCGTTGTGGGGGTTGGATGCGATAATTTTTTCCATTGTTTATACTTTGAAAATGTTTATAGTTTGAGTTGCTCATTCATTCCCTCTTTAACTGATCTATAAATAAATAAATAAATAAGAAATAAAAAAACATCAATGAATCTGTAAGCAAAACTAATAAAGTAACAATTAAACGAAAACATAGGAACCTATAATGCCACAAATAACCAACGGAAGTAGAGGGACCAAAAAAGATAAAAAGGAAGCAACTTTAAAATGACTCAAATACAGTTGAGGGATCATTCCTACCAAAAATATATTAATATGACTAAATACTAATAATATGTAATAAAAAGCGAGGGTTATGAAATATTCAAACAAAAGTGAAATGGTTGTTTGTGAACAAAAGTATAAAGTTGAATGGTGAATGTTGTAACATTAATTGAAAAAATAAATTTCAACCAATCAAAACAACAAAGTATTGTTAAAATTTTTCATAACTTTAATATATATACTAGAAAGGTTACCCCTGCTACGCGGGGGTTAAAAACTTTCAATGTTGTTTCCGAATCGATAAATATTACAAACGTAGAAAGTGCAAGAATGAAAAGCCCGAGCTTTTCCATGAAACGTTTTTTTTTCATGTTTTTATGAAAAAATGTAAAAGTTTTGACTGCAATGATCAGAAGTGTCAAAACGACTAAAGAATTAAAGGGGTAGGAATTAACAAATTTTTAGAAAATGGTTCAAAGTTGTCAAACCGTTAAAATTTTGTGGTCAAACTTTAAATATTAAAAGGTTCCTAAAATGTGTAAAAATATTGATTGTAAGGACCAAAAATATCAAAATAAGTAAAAGATAAGAAGCAAAGTGTAGAGATCAATTCTACCAAAAAATAAGTAAGTTTACTATTCCTTTTATTGAAAACTTTAATATATATATATATATATATATATATATATATATATATATATATATATATATATATATATATATATATATAAAAGTCTATTGTGGAATTTGTACATTTTATAAACTAGTTTTGAGGAAGAAAATTAAAGTAGAGGTTGTTTCTGTTTTTGACCCAAACTCAAAGGACTATAATTGACAATTGTTGAAAATATGTCTCCTTCCTGACGTCTCCATTCCTCCATTTCTATACCTGCAACTGTGATGTGTTTTTTTAATGTGCAATGGCTACAGCAACAAAATGGTCAAAATGACCTTTTCCCCACCCAAATCCACCTGTTGCAAAAGAAAGCTTTTGATTCGTCGTCTCGTTCCGTTTCCGGAGCCACGGTACAATCAACTCACCGGATTTGGAGGCGGTGTTCACGCGTGGGGAGGCACGCCACCTCAGCCCAAGACGCATGATATTAACCCATAACTGGTAGCCTAACTTTTGAATCTTTATCTGATCTGATCCAACTAATATATATCCGATCCAGCTTAATATATTAGAAGGGTAATTTTTCTAAAATAAAAATAATAATTAAAAAATGTTTGTGTGCTTTTGTCTTGTCATTTATTTTAGTATACTAATCAAAAGTTTGGTCTTGTCGAAAAAGAAAGTGTAAAAAGAGAATAGCTCTTTTTGTTCTTCAATAAAAAATTTCAAAAGTTAAAAGACAGGTTTTGATTAAAAAGTATTATGATTGCTAATTATGATCATTATTAAATCCTTCCACAATTGGTAAACTTTATATGTGCTTTTAAGTTGTCTTAAAAAAAATTTGTTGGATTCAAAAAGAAAAAAAAGAAGAAAAAAACTATTAATTCAAAAGCCATTTCTTGTAGCTCTTTAGGTCTTTTTGTTTTTATTTTTAGTTTATTCAATGGTGAGATAAATATATAACAACTTATAATAGTAAAGATTTTATAAGGAATAATAATTTAAAAAGGTAACGAAGTTTAATATATATATATATATATATATATATATATATATATATATATATATATATATAAAAGATCATTATCATTTTTTAGTACATAAAATATTATTTTACCGGTTATTGTAGGTGATCTAGTTTCCAATTGTTTATAAAATACCATTGTTGTTTTTTAGTACAAAAAATATCATTAATATTACTATTTGTACACAGAATATCAGCAAAGCACACATGTGTTCAAATAAAACATTGTGGTAACCAGGTACTTCATGTGCATGGACAATTTTCAAAATGTTAAAAAATATCACACTTTTTGTTAACTGCGTTCCTGTCGGATTATGTTGAACACAATCATCGGAGATCATGAACCGTCATATCAGTTGACAACAATTGTGAAAATCTCTTTCATTCCTTCACTCGATCGTTCTTATGGTAACAAGAGAAGTAAGTGGGTAATAACCTTAGGTAAACATTCTTGCTTCCAGATCACATTTATGCCTCAAACCTAAAACATATATACATTATATAAATACACATATTATACATCAATGTTAACTATTCATTAGTGTTGTGACACAAGAGAGACACAAAGGAGAAATGAGTGTGACGTTATATCATGAGAATTCATAAATATGGATTTAGATACAAACTGATCAAATGATTGAATGAAAAAGAGTACACAACTGGTGTGAACTAGTACGACGGTGACTAATTTCCGATAACTGTGTTCTATATAATCCGGAAACAACAAATTAACACAATGCGCTCTGAAAAAACAACAATGATTTTTTTTTTTTTTTTTTGAACTTTTTGGAAATTTCAATGATATTTTTTTGTACTAAAATATGTACTTCGTTGGTATTTTGTGTACAAATGATATACTTTAAAGATATTTGTTATACTAAAAAAATAATGATATTTTTTGAATATTTTGGAAACTTTATTATATTTTTTAGTTATTTTTCCGTTTACCTAAGATAATCGGTTATCATAAGATTTTATTTGAACACATATGTATTTTGTTAGTATTTTGTGAATTTTATTAGTATTTTAGATACAAAAAATATACTTTAATAATATTTTGTTTCGTTGATATTTTACAAAAAATATATTTTAATAATAAATATATTTTAATAATATTTTGTGTACTCAAAAAAAACATTTTTGAATCGGTGTCCTTTTTAATCGTCATCCTTTTATAAAGTCCATTAAACATGTATCTCATTTTCCGGCGACTTTCATCAAATTAAATTGTCGGCTCGATTTCCATGTTGTAGCTAACAGCTCGGTTACTCGTTTCGCCGGAGCTCTACACCGTAACCGCCGATTCCAACTCCGCTGCATCTCCCTTCGTGCTCTTCCGTGTACGACGTTTTGTACCGTTTCTGAAATCCGTTAGCATTAAACTATGTATATGCGTAGTTAGGGACTTATAAGGTGATGGTTTCAACTGTTTCTATTAGAATTTTAATATGATTTTTTTTTGTTGAAATTGTGTTTCTATTGCCCAGGAGAATTTCAATTGCGATTAATCATATCTCTTGTTCTAACAATTGTAGTCATTTGACGGAGACTTGAGCGTTTTGGTGATCTGTACTATTCTCGGATCTCTAACTATACAATTGTTGCTTGATTTGCGCCTAAATTGTAAGTGCGTTTTACTCAATTTCTAGAATTCCTTGTGATTAAACTATCCATGTATGTCTATTACAAATTACCTGTATATGAGGGTTCTATTCGCTGATGATATCATTTTTTATCTCGCTGCTTGGAGCGAGTATTTAGGTCTTGTTATTGACTTATGTTACAATTGTGGTATGGTTTTTTGCTAAATTTCTGTTATTTATCACATTTCACTAGGTGAATTTCGTTTGTTTCTAATGATCGAATACATTTAATAGTACTAATAATTATCAATGACATCATGGAAAGTTGGTAATACTACTTTAGTGCTCGACTTTTCCTACTTAAATATATGTGCTGATAGAAAATTGTCCCCTGACTTGTGTGAAAGTAGCTAAAGCCTATAGTAGCTTTATCTTTGACAGATTGCATCTTTCATTTTCTGTGGATGTTATTGGAGATGGTTGGTTATCATAGTAGTAATGAGAGCCTACTTTTTTAAATTTGATTCTAAATACTTGTACTTGTTAAACTATTTGTGATTCCATGTAGCTAGCTATCAAATCAGTGGAGATAGAAACTTTGAATGTTGAAAGCCTTGTGGGAAAGATGAAAAGAGTGACAAAGAAGGTTGGAAAATATGAGATTGGTAGAACCATTGGTGAAGGTACATTTGCAAAGGTTAAATTTGCAAAAAATACAGAGACTGGTGAGGCAGTTGCCATTAAAGTTCTTGCTAAAAGCACAATACTCAAGCACAAAATGGTGGATCAGGTTTGGCTTTGTATCTTTTGCATATTTAGTACCAATTTAAATTGTCCTTCACTTATCTATATAAATATTATAGCTTTATCTTGTTATTCACTTATATTGCTTTTGTAGTTATTTCTTGTTGTATTTGCAAATATTCTCATTTCTCTCAGCTGACTTGCAGATTAAAAGAGAGATCTCAATAACAAAGATGATGAGGCATCCTAATATTGTGAGACTCCATGAGGTATATATATTTAAAACTTATGCAATACATTTGATCCTATATTACATTTCTTTATATAAGAGTTTTCCAATGATGCCATGATTTTCCTTTGGTCAGGTTTTATCAAGCCACACAAAGATATACATAATACTGGAATTCATCAATGGAGGAGAGCTTTTTGATAGAATTGTAAGGTCCATTACCCCATTGGATAGAACACTGATATGTGTTAATCAACAGACATCATTCATGAAACCAATTTTTGTCCCTCTTCCCTTTATACCCTTGGTTACAGGTGCACAAAGGAAAGCTTTCTGAGAAGGAAGCTAGAGAGTACTTTCAACAGCTTATTGATGCTGTTTCATATTGCCATGAAAAGGGTGTGTATCATAGAGATTTAAAGGTGAGAAAAAAGGTTTAGACTTTAGAATAGTGAAAAGATTTATTATTATTATTATTATTATTTTCTGCTAACAGTCTTTTTTGTAAAATGTAGCCTGAAAATCTTCTTCTTGATTCTGAAGGAAAGCTGAAGGTTTCTGATTTTGGACTCAGTGCATTACCACAACAAGTAAGCAGAATTTAGGTAGTGTTTGGTATATGGTAATTGAAGAGGGAATGGAATGGAATGTCCCATTCCCATTACTTTGTTCATTCCATTCCATCAAAGCATCTCTTGATGTGATTTCTTTTCAGGGTGTTGAACTTCTTTATACCACTTGTGGAACCCCAAATTACATTGCACCTGAGGTACATCATACATCTCATCTTTCCCATTTTATTAATTTTCTTGGTTTTTATTTTTATAATACGCAACTTTTTTTGGTGTTCAGGTTTTAAATAACAAAGGCTATGATGGTGCTGCTGCTGATATCTGGTCATGTGGAGTCATTCTTTATGTCATTTTGGCTGGATACCTTCCATTTGAGGAATCAGACTTGCCAACTTTGTATAAAAAGGTTAACACTCAATCATCAAATATTTATAATTTTGTCACATGTTATATATTTATTGGCTGAAGTTGTCAAAAAAGGTATACTGGTTGAATCACTACAGAAAATATTAGGTCAAATCAAGTAGAATTGCTTTTCTGTGTACTTTCCACTATATTTATTTATGGGCTCATAAAAATTTAAGCACTCTGTTATATATTATATTATTATAATCAACTCAATTAAATAATCTTTTATATTCAGGTTAATGCTGCTGAGGTTTCATATCCTTTTTGGTTCCCAGATAATGCAAAGTCATTAATAAATAGGATACTGGATCCAAACCCTAAAACTGTAAGGAGTTGATTTAATTATTATATTCATTTTACATGTGAAATGACCATTTTGCCCATGCAGCGAATTGGGATTGATGGGGTAAAGAAACACCCATGGTTCCAAATAAACTACACATCTATCAGCCATGGAGAAGACATTGATGTCAGTTTAGACGATGTTCATGCAGTTTTTAATGGGATAGAGGTTTAATCATAATATCATAATCCAGAAATTATTTTTAAACTATATTAAAAAATAAATTATTAAAATTTGGACTTTATATTTTTATTTAACAGGATCAATACGTAACTGAAAAATCCGAAGAAAAAACCGGCCCTTTACTAATGAACGCGTTTGAAATGATCACTCTGTCTCAAGGCCTAAACCTGTCTGCCTTGTTTGACAGACATCAGGTACATCAGTCTCAGTCTCAGTCCAATGTCAGATAAATACCTGATTCTTTATTTTTTTTATTTTTTTAAAGGATCGTGTAAAGAGACAAACTCGATTTGTGTCACGTAAGCCAGCAAAAGATATAATTTCAACAATTGAAGTGGTTGCGGAATTATTGGGTTTCAAGGTCCAAACACATGGCTACAAGGTTATACAAAATTTAAATTTCCATCATTTTCTTTTTTCTAATATATTTTTTTCATAATTTAAATTCCACAAATTAATCTACAGATGCGTCTCGAAGGAGCTTGTGTGAATCGAGTGGGGCAATTTGCGGTTGTTTTAGAGGTAAAAGTTAAAACTTTTGCGTTTCATTTTTTTTTTATTACACTTGGAATATTATTTTGTTAAGTTATGTTAATTTAATAATCTTTTTATGAAGGTATTTGAAGTTGCAGCATCTCTTTTTATGGTGGATGTGCGAAAAGCTGCTGGAGATACTCTTGAATACCATAAGGTAAACAATATATATCTTTCTTCCATTCTAAAAATAAATAAATAATATTGTTATAAAGAATTATTGAGTTAAATATGATGAAATTAAAGTCGTGTACTTTTGACTTGCAGTTTTACAAGAACTTTTGTAACAAACTGGACCACATTATTTGGAAACCAAAAGAAGGTATGGAGAATTCTTTACTTAGGACTATGACTTGTTAAGTCAAAAATCTTCCATTTTCCTTTATATTAAGTCGAGAAAATGGAAAAAGAAAAAAAAAAAAAAAAAAAAAAAAAAAAAAAAAACAACAACTTAGAGTTGGTGTGTTAAAATTTTAAAACAAAATTATATGTTCCCATGTAATTAGTTATAATATAGTTGATATGACGAAATAGGCTTTGGTGGATTTCTTAAATGGGTGTGTTAGCGTGACTCTTGTTGATGTTCTTGATCCATTATGTGAATGTATTATATGGTTGCAAAACTATACTATTAAAATAATAATCTATTTTTGTAACAAAAGATTGCAGTCATTTGAATACATTTTTGGTGATTAAATATAATTGAAGGGCTTTTTGGTACAAACCGAAAACAGTAGGGACGTCAATGATTTAGTGAAACTTAAATAAACCAATAAACAATTAGAAACGCGACAGAAATCATTATTCATCTTTGATCAAATAAATCAAGTGGAACATAAAGTAGAAATACGATGTACAAGATTCAAAACTAAAACTCCTCATGAAACCCAACTAATGATAAAAGACAATATAACCGCCACCACACCGGAGTAACTCAAATCTTGCAATCTCCACCCTAGTGCTGCCATAGACGTCACCGGATTCCGCGGCTTCTCATGCTTCCCAACATCAATCATAATTTCATATTTACAATCCGACATCCCTATCGTTGGCTGGATTTTCGTAACAATGGATAAATTATGAAAATCACATGTTCCCTTTTGCTGATTAAACGTTTGAAAATATTGATTAAACGCATACGACGCATTACCCCGCGCATCCAAACCATTACACGAAGAACCATAACCTAAACTTGTACAATCTGCATAAGTACACGCATACTTCACACTATCAGCTAAATTAGGGTCTGATTCACTTGCCCCCTCTGCCATAACGCACCACTGTCGGGATAAGTACCGGACCCCTTTAGCTGACACAAGCGTCCTATTATTACTTCCTAGGTCAAGTCTATACTTGACTGTGCCATCATAATTAAAAACTCCCCAATGTCGTTCAAAATTACCAGGGTCTATGCTTTTCCGATCCTCATCGATAAGCCCGAAAATGTAAACATCCGGTGGTGTTTTCCTTTTCGGTGTCCCTTGTCCTTGAATTATCCGGCTTATCAACCCTTGGTTAAACTTCCGTGCATATCCTAAATTCGCATTTTGGTCACCGTCAGTTGGCCACCCGATCTCTCCGACGATCACCGGCATCCCTGGAAAACCGTTCTTTTCAAGGGCCCACACAAGGGTATCGTAATTAGCATCAAATACATTTGTGTATGAAATTGTTCCATCAACCACCGGAGCATTTGTTCCGGCGAAGAATGCAAAGTCGATTGGAAAATGTGGGTCAGCGTAGAGGCTGAGGAAAGGGTAGATGTTGATGGTGAGTGGTGCTGCGTTGTCGCTTAGAAATTGGATGATGGAGATCATGAGGCTGTGGATGTCTGACCGGAAATTACCTTCTGATGGGACGCCGGAGTTGCTTTCGTAAACGTCGGCGTTTAGTGGTACTGTTATTTTGACTTGACGACCTAGACCGGCTTTTATTAAGGCGGCTTGGATGTTTTGGAGAGCCGGGAGAGTTGCGTTTGTGAACATGTTTTTGTAGGTCTTGAGAAAGGGTTCGTTCCCAACTGCTACATACCTAATAAAAATCAAAATCAAAAATTTCAAATTAGAAACAATTTTTATTTTAGAATCTTATTTTATTTTTTATTTAATCATCTTATTATTAGATTAATCCAAGAAATAGTAATGTATTCGATTCGACTATTTTCATCATTTGTTTATTTATTTTACTCTTATTTTTATTTGTTTTATTCATCTTATTATATCATAACAATATTTTCAAAATAGAAAACAATTTTTATTGTTATTCAAAAAATAGATACGTCACATTGTCTACTATGATTGGATTAATTGTTATTTACCTTTAATACTTAAAAATGATTTCATACAAATAAGTAATTATATGAATAATTAGTTAAATATAAGAAACATCATGATATATAAAGTTCTATAATGTAATAGAAAAGTTATACATTTGTTTCTAATTCCATTTAGTCACAAAATACTAATTCCATTTAGTCACAAAATACAAGTGTTCTAATCATCATACAAAAAAAATAAGTAAAAGGTCGAAGAAATTTATCCGTAATTTTAATATTTTTTAATCAATAAACAGACTGCTGAAAGTGGTTGATCATTGAAATATTGATTTGATCGATGCATTCGATACAACAATGCAAGTCCAACTATTAAACGCTAATAAATAAAAATAAAATTTTCATACTTTAACATATAACTAACCTTATATCAACTCCACGTGAAACATAAGCAGATACATTTTTTGCCACCCAGTCTTCAGCAACCCTAACACCACTAGCCAATGGAGCTAAGAAATCATTAGGAATCCCGAGCATAACCTGAAGTCCTGAATTTCTAAGCGCATCCAAAACCTCAGGCTCGGCTTCAAACAGTTTAACTTTATCGAACCCATTATCCTTCATCAACTTCACCACAATATTAGGTGACAAAGGATGTGATGCACGCGTACCCCAATTAACCCCAAGCCCTCGAACTGATAAAGTTTTGAAATGTAATATGAAAACGATCATAGAAACCCACAAAAATAAAGATTTGCGGGATTCCATTTTTGTGGGTATGGAAAGTGGCAAAGGTATGTTGATATAAGGTTAGGAGAACTTTGTGAAAAGGCAAGGAATTGGACAAAAGTTGATAAAGGGATTAGATGCCCAAATGGATCAATCTTTGTGGTAACTTGTTCTAGAGATTATTTGGAACAAAGGTTAAGTAGGAATTTGTTTCTTTAACATTGTAAATATGTAAAAATGACATTCTAATGTATTTTTATAACCATGCGTGTTTCTTTTTTACTTAAAATTATATTTTATTTATTTGAATCGTTGATATTCTTTTACTTCAAAATTAAATGTCTTTTATTCATTTGAATTGTTGATGATTTATTGGAATGTGTACTTTAATTCTTTGCGAATTGCAATAAGTATTATAAATAAATATAATTAATATAAAGTGTAACACAAAAAATGGGAAATAAGAACTTAAATCCAATTAAACAACTTGGGGTTTTACCTAACCAAAATCAACCCCAATTGTTTCTTTGACTTTGACCGTACAAAAAGTCAACCATCTCACGTTTGACCAACCCCAAAATGAGCCCAAAAAAAAAAAAAAAAAAAACCGGACCATAACCCTAACCGGTTCACTTAAGAAAGTATATCACATCTCCAAAGATTAACCACAAGTGACTCAATCGCACTCCTACTAATCAAATTACACATTTGGAGGTTCAACCCCACAAGTGTCTCTCCCATTTTCTCAAAAGACAACATACTTTTATTCGAAACCATACAACCCGATAAAGAAAGAACCCGCAACCTCATATTCCCTTCATAACACAGCCAAGAAACACCGGAATCCGTGATTCCGCTCTTCGAAACATCAAGATCTTTGAGAAGTCCGCAATTTCTTCCGATTGCCGCCATGCTTTCGTCGGTGATTTTCCGGCACCCGCCAAGATTGAGTAGTTCTAGGGTTCCGCCATGGATCTTGACCAAATCCACCACCACTTTGTCGGTCAAGTTTATGCAATCGGTAAGGTTGATTTTTTTAAGTCCGGCGGTGTGGGTTTTGAGTAAGTCGAAAAGGCCAGAATCGGTGATTCCGGAGAGCCCGGTTAGATCAATATTATGTAAATTTGGAGATAACTTCCCGATCATTTCCAAGTTCTTGTTTCCGAACCCGATGCAATTCTTGATTGTTAAAGAATGTAAAGATTGACTTTTTTCGAAAAAGTCAATGGCTTTTTCGTCTAAATCTATAACCCCCATACATTTTACAACCGAAAAAGATTTCATCTTTGAGTTTTGATTCGACAAAGTACCCAAAATCCCTTGTTGGGTTACCCGATTACACTCTTCTAACTGCAAGCTTTCAAGAAACCGGGCAGCTCGGGCAAACGAAACCAACCCTTTATCGGATAAAAACCAACACTTTTTAAGAACCATATGTTTTAAAGCATGACAACCATTTCCAATCGCTTCAAGGCTCAAATCCGTGATCCCACAACACGAAATTACTGTTAAGGACATCAAAGATTCAAGATTTCCCACATTACCCATCGCCCAAAAACCTTTTTGGCTCACGTTTCGAAGGTTTGTGAGGGCAAGATTGGTAATTGACTTCCCGTATCGCCCGATCACCGCTAGTGATAAGTCCGTTATATCTAAAGATTGAAACTTTACCTTTGTAAGAACCAAAGATGATGAAAAAAGAGTAGCAACACCTTGGTCACCAACATTCGGGCAGTCTTTGATGGTGAGTGATTGTAGATTCGGGCAGCACCGGGCAATGGCTTCAAGGCTTTCGTTTCCAATGTTTTTACAAGATTCGATTGTCAAAGAAGACAGATTTGGGCAGTTCTTGGCTATTGAAATTAAACCCTCATTGGAAATTAAAGGACAATGACAAAGATCAAGACTTTCTAAAAATTGGCATTTGGAGATTTCGATTAAAGATTCGTCTCCAATCATGGGAACATTCCATAAAGAAAGAACCCTAAGATTTGGGCAGCCTCGGGCAATCGCTGAAAATCCAACACTTGTCACTTTATCACTTCCCCTGACCGAAAGCTTGCCCAATCCACCTCGGGCAGATGTTCCAACCGCAATGGCAGCAAGTCTTGTATCGGTTGCTTTCTTTCCTTCTAAAGACCTCGTGAGATACCCATCGTTCTCTTGTTCATCATCATATGAAAACTCGTTGTTGACTTTGACTTTGACTTTATCAATAATTTCTGAGGTTTTGAGATTACTTATAAGGGTAAGCCACCGGAGTGAGACACAGGCGGCGGCACTCCTCCCTTTGCCGCCAGATAATCGCCGGAAGATCTCGTAAAGACATTCATCCGGGAGGATTTCGATTGATTGATTGTTTTTGTTATTGGAAAAAAGACTATATGAATCATTGATTCGTGAACGTTTGCAAGGGTGGTTATAAACATCAAGAATGGAAAGTAAACGGTTTGAATCCATGGAACATAATGATCCTCCCGTATGATGTTTATCATCACCTATAAATGCAAACATCAGATCATCAGAAACTAGATTCAGAAAAAGGGTAAAATGGTCATTCGGTGCACAACATAAACATTATACTTTATCCGAACAGACATTATTTATCTATACAACCATCAGATTCCAAAATCCAGGGGTAAAATGGTCATTCAGACGGTTCGGTGCAAAAAATAGTCTTTGTTCATCCAATCGGAAATCAGCCCTGAATAGAATCAGTCCTTCCATTTAGATCCTCAAAAGAACATTCGATGCACCAAGTTTCATATTCAACGATTATGCTACTCATAATAGCAAATTTCAAGATTTACATGTATTTATAGTTGAAGAATCAAGAATGGTCTCTAAAAGGTCAATGCTTTGTACTAAACTATAACTACAATCTAGGGTTACAAATAGATAATCACAAAACCCTACAGAATAGTTTATTAAATCTTTTATGTCCATTCTACTAAGATAAACTCTAAAAACTGCTTCAAAGTTGAAAAATATTTAGGTTCATCATGTCAATTAACCAACATAAACAAACAAAAATGGATGAAAAAACACATAATTCAGAAATTTAAGAAATACCCAGAAATGAAAACCATCCCGCTTAAAAAAAACCCATCAAGATCTAACTAAAAGTTTCAATCTTTGACCAAGAAACCAAGAAACCCCCAATTGGAAAATTTCAAGAACACGAAATTTAGGGCAACTTACCACAGTAATTAACCAAAGTAGGCATCTTTGTAACTTCTGGGAATAACCCACCAAGAGAATCTGATATTCCACCGAAAAGCACAAAGAAATTATCAAAAAAGTGTAGTACTTGATTGATTTTTTTTTTTTTCAAGATTTTATTGCGTTTAACCTAAATTGTGAATTTGTTGAAGAGCGTATACTTATTTGTGTTACAGGTTTTCTGGGCTATATATATGTACATATATATGGGGTGCATGTATGTAAAAGTGAGGTTTAGTCTACAAATACATTGCCTGCATCTCCCCCTAAACCATCGCAGAAGATGTTAAATGCATGTTGCATATACATTCATTGAATCTTTAAAGAATTCATATTGTTTCCGGTTGTTTCTGCGGCATTACAACTTGTACCAACACTAGGAGCCCAATGATTTTATTTTATTTTCATTTTCCGTAGTGTTCCCATTTGTAGAATTGTAGGTTTGAAATAATTATGTTTCATGATTAGGATGAAATGTTGTATCCAAAAAATAATAACACAACATTAACAAAACTTACACAAAATTAACAAAACTTAATTTTTTTGGTTTATTAACTTATTGCTTATTTGTTTATTGATGTGGGAATAAACATTTTTTTAAAATGTGTTTTGAATAACTTATTGTGGTGAGAATAAACAATAAGTAATAAACATTTTAAGTGTTTGACAAAAAAAAAAAAGCTTATATGAGTAAAATGATTAATAAGCAATAAACATTCCCTCCATTGCTTATTAAAATTAGTTTATTTAGCTTATTCATACTGCAATAAGCTGATTTTTAAAGACTTCTATCCAAACACTTAAATTTGCTTATCGCAGTGGGATTAAGCAATAAACAATAAACAATTTATTTTTTTTCCTATCCAAACACCCCCTTAACATTACGAAAAAAAAAAGTAACAAAAATGATCTAGCTTTTCTCATATTAATAAAATGACCATTTACACTAAAACACCGTTACTTGAGTATTAATGTATTTTCCGGAGTTGAAAAGAGGTTGGTGAGATGTGACATAAACACATTTTGGAAATGCCACAAAGAAGGGATGGAATGTTCGGGATTGACTTCGTACATTTCGAACAGAATATGGTACGTTCCGAACACATTCCGAAATGGTTTTAATATTGACCTTTTCTTCGGTGCATTTGTTTCACCTTTTCTATTATTACAATTTACGCATTATGATTATCAACCTCGAACAACTAAAAATGACTTCATTAAATTGAGTTCACGAAAAAAAAAAAAAAAAAAAAAAACTTTGTCAACATCCTATTTATTATCATAATCTTGAAAAAACCAATCTGAAAATTATTTCTCATGTCAAGAAAGATGTGACCAATCGTTTTTAGTTTTTCTTATTAGCTGTAGTATGTGTGGTAGGATAAATTTGTACTACAAAATAGCTAAAAATGAATTCATTAAATCAAGCTCACGAAAAAAAATAAAAATAAAAAAAATAAAAAATAAAAAAAACTTGTCAACCTCCTCTTTACTATCATAATCTTGAAAGAACTAATTTGTGAATTATTTCCCATGTCAAGACAAATGGGACCAATCATTTTTAGTTTTTCTTTGTCATTATCGTATGTGTGGCACGATAAATTTGTACTACAATATTTGCTTGCTTCTAGTTACAATTTCATTAATATTATGATTAATGGTGTGATAATTATAGATTCAATGATAGTAATATGACAGAAGCATACAATCAACAATGAAATATATAATCGAAACAAACAAAATTAAAATAAATGTACTACAAGAATCATAATTCAGAAAAACATACTTGAATGCTGATGTAACTGCCCGATCTTTCAAAAGAAAATTTTCATTTTTAATTAACTAAAATATTTCACAAACCATGAGATTTCCAAATACAATTGTTTCCAAAATTCATAACCATTACAATTTATTTCAAATTATCAAAGTGTCCCATAAAATGTCTGAGATAGATAGAGAGAGAGAGAGAGAGAGAAAGAGACAGAGAGAGAGTACACGCTGCGCCATCAAGTTTTGCCCTTGCCCTTAGGCTCAGATGTACCTGAAACAAATCCACAAATTGTAAGCTAACGCTTAGTGAGTTCCCCAGAGTATACCCTACACACAATCCACATAACATATATCATATTAGCTATAAAAGTTATCTCTACCACATAAGTCATGCATACAAACATATAAGGATGTCGTGGACTCCTCCCAAGGTCTTACTCCAGGATGTCATGGGCTCCCCCACATGGTCTTACACTTAAGTGCCATGGGCTCCCCTATGGTCTTTAGCTGGAAGCTATGGGCTCCCCTACATGGTCTTATATCCAAGTGTTATGGGCTCCTCCATGGTCTTGCTTGAAAAGTCATAGGCTCCCCACATGGTCTTACATCCAAGTGTCATGGGCTCCCCCTATGGTCTTTCCATGCAAGTATCACATATATAGTTAGCATATTACCACACATATCTAACTATCATACCACACATCTCTACAACAAGCATATCACATATCTCTACACAACAAGTATACCATCTATCATGAAATGGGCCGACCTTGGTGCCTTAGACCCATTGGTATGGTGAGAAGACTCACCTCTCGTGAATGTTGAACTGACATGCTTAGATTAGCTAATCCCCACGTGCTGCTCCAAATCAACCGCCTATAATCATCATGTGATTAACTCGTCAAATCCCGTAGATACCCTCAAAGTCAAACCTGATCAACAGTCAATGTTGACCTCTACTCGTCGAGTGCATCCAACAACTCATCGAGTTTTTTGAGTAATTCATCCACTCGTTGAGTTACCTGTGTAACTCGTCCAATCCCCCCGAAAACTCGTGAATACTGAACCGAAAACTTAGTCCAACCGAAAACTCTACTTAGGCCAAAAACTCAGACCAAAAACTCATATGGCCGAAATCCCAGTTCTCCACCGAAAAGACTCTGGACCCCGAAAACGGGAAAAACCCCTCTCGACTCGCCGAGTCAGATAAGGAACTCGACGAGTTCCTTCATTCCCTCTCATGTTTAGTCCTTTTCAGTGGGATCTAAGGTCCTAAACTCTAGATCTAAGCTCTCCTAGTGCAGATACCACGCAAAGTTGCAAACTTTACGTGCATGCAAGGTCTTCCAAGGCTATATCTTCAAAACTAGGCTTCTTACAAGGCTTTTGTGTATGGAAAGTGGCTAGACAACACAAAATGAGCAACTTTGTGTCATTGGGGACCTAAAGGAGTCCAGATTTGGAACCATATCCTTGTGATAGCTCTAGATCCGAGTTTGGACTCCATTTTGCCCCAAAAATGATCATATACTTGAAAGAGAAGGGATCTAATCAACTAAAGCTCAAGGTGACAACTTTGTAACTCAGGATGATGGCTAATACGAAGTAAATGTTGGATCTACTGTTCCTCTCCTTACTCCTTCCTCTTTAAGCTTGAAATCCTTCACAAATATTCCAAAATGGCTCACACACACTCAAGGAAGCTCAAATGAGCCATAAGTCCTTTAAATAGGGTACAAACCCCTGAAAATTAGGGTTTCACTTTACAACTCCTACTCGCAGAGTCGAGGCGTTCCGACTTGAGTAGGTCCCAATCCCGCATCCGTAAATAATCCCTCTACTCGATGAGTTGGACTCCCAACTCGCCGAGTCCACGCACCAAAACCCTAAAATTAAATAAATCAAGAAATACCTGGAACAGGTGTTACAAGTCTCCCCCACTTGAACTAGACTTCGTCCTCGAAGTCTGTTAATTTAAACAAATCCAGGTAGTGACCTCGCATCTCGTCCTCCGGCTCCCAAGTCCATTCGGAGCCCCTGTGGTGATGCCATTGCACCTTCACCAACTTTACTTCCTTGTTCCGTAGAACCTTAGTCTTCCTATCTAAGATGGAAACCGGACTCTCGATGTAGTTTAGGATCTCATCCAATCGAATGTCGTCCAACGAAACGACTGCAACCTTATTGGTGTCACACTTATGAAGTTGTGACATGTGGAAAGTGTTGTGGATCTGGCTAAGCTTATCTGGTAGATCCGAACGATATGCCACCTTCCCCACCCGAGCTGTGATCCTAAACGGGCCTATATATCGGGTTGCTTGCTTACCCCTCTTCCGAAACCCGATGACCCCCTTCCATGGTGACACTTTCAGTAACACAAAGTTCCCCACTTGGCACTCAAGATCCGATCGCTGCCGGTCAGCATAACTTTTCTGATGGCTCTACGCGACCCGCAGCCGATCACGTACATGCTGAATCAGCTCGGTGGTCTTAAGTACTACCTCAGTGCTCCCTATGACCCGATATCCAACCTCGCCCCAACAAACTGGGGTCCTGCATCTCCTACCATACAACATCTCGAATGACGGTCGGTCAATACTGGCACGATAATTGTTGCTGTATGAAAACTCTGCCAATGGGATGTATATATCCCAACTCCCTCCAAAATCCAACACACATGCTCGAAGCATGTCCTCCAATGTCTGGATCGTCCTCTCGCTCTGGCCATCGGTCTGCGGGTGGTAAGCCGTGCAAAAATGCAGCCGAGTGCCCAGTTCGTCATGAAACTTCTTCCACAACCTAGATTTAAACCAAACATCCCTGTCAGAGACTACCGACACTGGCACCCCGTGTCTAGCCACCACCTCTTGCACATAAATATCCACTAACTTCTCAGTGGATATACTCTCAGAGATCGGAATAAAGTGGGCACTCCTCGTCAATCTGTCCACAAGCACCCATATGGCATCCACACCCCTCGCCGTCCTTGGTAACTTCGTGATGAAGTCTATAGTGATATCTTGCCACTTTCACATGGGAATGGGTAGTGGTTGAACCTTGCCATGAGGCTGCTGATGCTTAACCTTGACCTTCTAGCAGGTCAAGCATCGCTCTACAAACCAGGCGGTTCATGCAGGGCCACCAATAACTCAATCTCAAATCTCTATACATTTTTGTAGCTCCTGGGTGTATAGAGAACTTGGACTTGTGTGCCTCCTCCAATATTTTCTACCTCACCCCTCCAGTTATCGTTACCCATACCCGACCACATTGTGTCAGAAGACCTCGGCTATCCTTAATAAACAAAGGATATTGTCCCCAAATTCGCTCAATCTTCCAATTTTCCTTCTTCACACCCTCGACTTGGGACTCCTTGATCATATCTAGAAAGGGAGAGATCACCGTCATCCTCAAACAAACATTCCCAATTGAGGAGCCTGCCGCCTTGCGGCTCAAAGCATCGGCCACCATGTTGGCCTTCCTGAGATGGTACAAGATCTCACAGTCGTAATCTTTCAACACATCCAACCACCTCCTCTGCC